TTTGATGATATTTTTCGTTATTTAGTTTTTTTTAAACAAATCAATTTTCAATCAGAATTACTTACTGACTTTTAGTAGGTCTTTATTATTCTTCTATATGATGACATAACTTATCTTATATTGTTCTCTCTCTATGTTTTCTAATTTGCTTTCAAGCCTTGTTTAAAATTCCGTTAATTTTTCTTCATAATTAACTTACAATTAGTAAAAATAAGCATTTGTGTCAAATAAGCATCAAGCATGTTCTCATAATTTTTGCAAATTTTCGTAAAATTAAAAATGAAATTTCAAAATTATTAATGGCTTTTTAAGGCACCTTTGAAATTTTACATTTGACAAGTTTCTTATTCATAACGTATTGTTTCATATAAACATACACGTTGTATATATCATTTGTAAGTAAATTATAGATATTGCATGGGTAGTTCTAAGTATATCATCAAATAAGACCAAAGATTTAATACTTTTTGAAAACCTGGGACAATCCGAGACAAAAAAAATAAATCTGGGACACATTTTGCATTTACAAAAACCCGTAACACAAGGTGGAAATCCGGGACTATCCTGACCAAACCGGGACGTATGGTCATTTTATATCAAGGGATTTCAAATTATGGATAAAATATTAATTTAAATAAGTTTTGCCTACTATGTACTATTATTATGCTATTCCTTTCATATTTTTTTTAATTTTTGTACAAATGAAAAATAGTTTATAATTCCAAATCCATATATTTTATATTTGTACATAGCCTTTGCATCAGTCAGAAAAATGCATTAATACATGTATATCGATCGACTACGATAGTTCTATTATTAGAGGAGGATACTGCCATTGGCAACAATCATTCGTATATGTTGAAAAGGATATATGACTTCAGAAATCTTTCAAATAATTTACAGTTGTAATGAAATATATGTAGCTTAATCTACATTTGTTAATTTATTATATATTATCATTGGTTTTTGGTGGGGATCACTTTGATTAATTAATTATTTAGTGGACTCTAAGTAAGGATTATCCCGTCACTATAAAAAAGCAAATAAAAACAACTATTTCCTTTGCAACTATTTGAAGGATCCCGGGTTAAACACAAAAAGGTCTGGTCAAATTTTGACCACTTTTGATTATCTGAAATGATCATGACATATCTCATTGAACTGCATATTTACAGCAGTACCTTTGTATTTTGTAAAACCGAGTAAAATATCACAACTACCTTAACAAATTTACGATATTTGTTAATCTACTAAGTTCAACACCAGTTTTGTCAAGTTGAATTAATTACAGAATATCACCTGACTGATGTATAGACCTACATGTTTTCAAAAATATATACAATGAAATTTAGACAAATTTAGTCTAATTGTCAGTGACAGCACTATGAAGACATGTGTTGAAAAGGCGTTCAGAAACTATTTTTACTATACAATTGCTTTGAAATACCTAAATATGAACTAACGACTAGCATGTGGCCAACGCGATTTTATAAAGAAGGCACATGGTGAAAACTGTTTTACTTATATGTTAAAATGTTAATGTTGCTTTAGCTTTTGTGCTGTTACTTAACTACAATAATATTATTATGGTAATAACATTTATGATATTGATTGGTGTAAAATATGTAATACGAAGTAGAATACCTATATGACCTCTGTCACAGAATGCACCAAATTATGTGGATGCCTTTCAGTGAATATGTTTAGCGTACTACTTCAATGATTTTTTTAGACTTCTATAAGATACTTAGTAATCTTTGTAAAAACCCTGAAATTATTCACACATGATAATTACTTTAATTAATTAATTCAATTGCATACCAGTGTGTGGGCCGAATAGATCAGTAGATCAACCTTATAATCCGATTCAGGAATGTTTTCGAACTATTGTTTTCTTCTATTCCACGTCTTGTTTGAATTAAAATACGTGTGCGTACGAGTAAATCCTTCTTGCACAACTATGAATTATTTAGAATCATAAATTTGAAATTATTAGCTAAATAAAATGGTATGCAATAGCTGTGGGTGCTGTAGAATGCCGTGATTATTAATTCTTTATTAGCGCCACAGTTTCCATTTGGTATTATGCAAGGCGATAGTGCATTTTTCATGACTACCGTTGCAGAAATATACGGCTTTGCGAGCAATCATTAATTATTTGATTATTGTATAGAGAATTTACTGGCATGCACGATTGTAATTGACAGACATCGTGAAGCACAAAGAAATATGAACATTATTCATTACATAAATAATATAACTCGAGTTGTGGTAAATGTTCCATACTTGTATAATTCTTCACACTGTATACTTTTTAAAAATCGGGACTTCTCCATGCTGTTGTATTAGACGTTTGTTTTTCAGATAACTGGTTGACTAAAGTGTCCTTAACTAAATTATTATTGTGATTATGAAAAAATAAAATAGTAAAAAATTGCATTTTCTATTAAATGAAAAATAGTTAAGATTTTTGTTGAATTGTAAAAATGAATTATAGTGATAATCTTTTTTTTTTCTAATTAAAACTGTAGAGATTTATCTATTACAACTTCTTGTGTGAGTTGTATAAAAGTTCTATAGCAATTGAATTTATGTTGAATCGATATTCTTAAGGTACTTATTGGGGATACAGTAGTTATATGGGATCAAATGACTTTTTGGAAATTTTAACATAATGAAGATTGGAAACAATTTTCGGCGACATCATGCAACACAGCACAAGAAACGCTTAGTATTGAAAAAAAAATATTTGGCAGAATCTTTGATCATTGTTATTTATATTCCAATGAGCACCAATGAAGTACAATATAAACCATTGGACTTGTTTACTTTTCAAGTATTTGTGATATTGTGTAATTGTAGTCCTGCAAATTACAAAGTTTATCAGGTTTATATTATCTTATTACAAACGCATCAACTCAAGTTCTACATTGTTTGATTCAAAATTGCTTTCCAATCACTACTGAATATTTGATCAGATCGTCCTTCTGCGCTTTCTGCGTAATGTCATCATTTTCATTTCCTATGCAACCAATTCATATTTTATGCGTCCACTTTTGCATCGATCGTAAATGTGCTAATTTCCATGATTATATATATATATATATATATATAAATATATATATATATATATATATATATATATATGCATACGCCTACATATCCTGTTCACTGTCACATTACATACAACATTATTACTAAGTATAATCGTTGCCCATTCGAGATTGGAAGTTCTCGAGATACAATTTTCTATGCAAATTGGCTTTAATATATAAATGGTAATCTGAAGTAATGAATATTCAACATAATATCTATATGCATATGAAATCTTATTCCTGTATTTACGTATTTATGCATATATTTTTATGTATAAGATATTCACTAACACCTCACCCAAACTGATTTATTAGCATAATAATTTAAATATTACATGAAAAGGAAATAGTTGTTCTAGATATAATTTAATGTAGGGTGCCTACTCAGTTGTGAGTCACAAACTGCAAGATTATCCTTATCATAGGTGTATCTAACACATGCATTTCTTCGAAAAGAATAATACTTACCTTTATAACTAACAATATATATATATATATATTGTTGGTTATAGCTATTTGGCATTGTTTGTCAGTTATTACATCTTATTTGTATTTACTTTTTACATTAATACTTAGTGAAAACTCTTTTTACCTATTTTGATTTCTCAAATGTTTATAGTTTAAATATCAACTTAACGTAATTTTCGGAGTTTTCTAAACAGTTCTGGAATCCATCTATTCGACGATCTTTCTCCTGATTGTGTTTCCAAAACTAAAAGTACCATTACGTTAAAAATCATTTGAGGTGGCCATATAAAATATAAAAAATATTAGATTACATAAATCATTAGAAAAAATACTATGTACCCTACTAAATTCATTTTATAAAAAGTATTTATACTGTGAGATCCAGCTGCAGTGCTATGTTTGTTTGAAATCTTAGCTTAAAGTTTTAATCTTTTTTTTTTCTTTTGCTAGTTTTGTCCAAAAATATTTCAATAAATATTTCAAATTGTAAGACATCATTGGTTTGACTCGAATTTATTATTGTTTTACCGTATAATTATTTATCATGGTTTTTATAATTTTATCATTTTTATTCAAGATATTTTATGTTTGAAGATTTACAGAGAAAGTCTTATATTTGCTTCTTCACATAGATTATCTCATGTGAATTTGCTTTTGGTATCATAACAAGAAGAGCTGCTATAATTGTGAGAAAATCGTAAACTTTAGTTTGTTTAACGTAATGAACTATTGCCATGATATCTTTTTGCGTAAAAAATGCAAATTTATGTACATATTATATTCTCTGTGATTATTTAAACATGCTGAACTGACAGCAATACTGTATTTATTTATACCATATTATTGGAAATAGTCACATTATGATAATAAACATTTTTTGTCAAAAAGAGGTGATTGATTTGTTATAATCCCTGTCACAGTTGTTTCTAAGAACAAATGCTGAAATTAATCATTTTGGCCTGATAATATGAGATACGTAATTTTCTAATTAACATTTTACGCTTTCAAGGGTCTAGTTATCTACTACGATAATAAATACTAAAATTATTAAAATCGATTTCGTATTTGACTAGAACTGCATTAGGTTTTTGTTTAAAGTATGTGATAAAGATGGTTGAATGGAAGAGTTGTCAACATCAATTACGGTTTAATCATTTCAATCATATTATTCTCAGCACCAAAATTTAAACTTATTGAAGATAATCTGCTCACGATTTCAAGATTTTTATATCAATTTCTAAGCTTAACAAATTTGAACAATGATAATTTGTGGGAATTTCTCTGTAATTACTTTATTATTTATCTATTTTGTTTTCAAAGACATCTTCAAAAAGAAGCTCTTTTGCAAACTATCTTATTATTATCTGTTGATTATGTGTATGATACGTATTGATTCTGTTAGACTCATTTAATAATCGATCGTTTCTATTTTTGCAGGATAAGGCCTCAGATTCCTCGGGAGGTGATAGACATGTGCCGCGTTTGCACGTCCGTTACACCAGGCGAGCCTCAGGTGACACTGGGCTCAGATAAATCATTCACATTCGATTATGTTTTTGATGTGGACGATCAGCAAGCTACTATTTACGACACATGTGTATCGCGGCTGGTCCAAGGCGCTCTCAAAGGGTACAATGCCACTGTGCTTGCTTATGGACAGGTAGGCAATAAAATTTGATATCAATATATAATAATAATAAAATACTGAAGTTGATTTTTTGCTACTTTGTTTTATATGAATTTTATGACTACGATAGAAATAAGTTAATTTTTTTATTAAACGGTAGGTATTTGTTAACATGCAATCAAACTTTTTGGGACAAATAGTGTCGAGATTTTTTGGCTTAAATATTGTATTATCATTCTACCACATTATTTTACAAAAGTTTTATTACAAAATAAAATCGGTTTTTAAATATATATTTTAAATAAGAACTAATATTGTGTTATTAACTTCCCGTAGGGTAAGTTATAGTAATCGCAAAAAAATCGAAAATGAAAATTTTTATATATCTTTACGTTTCAGAGGTTTCTGAATATTTTGGCATACCTTAGAAAAAATGGACGTATGTGTGTGTGTGCGTGTATGTATGTGTGTGCGGATACAAATTTTATTCGACGATTTCGGTAACGGATGAAGCAATTTGAATAATTCAAAAAACATTCGATTCGTATTGATAAGGAGACGTGCTGATTAGTTTTTGGCGAAGGCAGGTCTAGCCGTTCCGAAGATATGGGGCAAAAAGTGCCAAAAACGGTACCTCAGTTTTTAAGAGAATGGAGCGTCCGATTTTAATAATTCAAAAAACATTTTACTTGCATTGACAAGATGAAGATTTAATCAAATTTTCATAAGGGCAGGTCTAGCGGTTTCGGTGATCTAACGAAAAAAGTAAAAAAAAAAGCCATTTGGCGGTCAAAAATGATTATTAGACATATGCACATCAAATTGTCAGATATTTTATAGAGATTTTAACAATAAATATAAATTTTGTTTATATTCCTATGGGTTCCGTACCAATGTTTATCCGTTAGACAGCGACGCGGCGCTTACGCGCTTTATATTTTGTCTCTATGCAGTTAAAGCAGTACGATTGCTTTGAAAAAAAGTTCAGATCTTCCAAAATATGTCAAAACAAAGAAAAAATTATTTTTTTTTCAAAAAAAATTAAAAAAAAAATTTTTTTTTAAATTTTTTTTTAAATGTTTTTTTTTTCAAAAAAAAGTAATTTTTTGTCCAATTTATAGTTTCTCAAAAATCTTATTTTTTCGAAGTAAAATTTTTTCAAAAATGTTAAATCGTTTTTAAAAAAATAATAATTTTTAGTACGGGAAGTTCCAGCAATTTGCCTTAAGGCACGATGCCTTAATTACCTTAAGACAGAATTCCACTTACAGTTAGTTTACTTATTTGTTTGATATAAGTAAAACTGTTCATTTTATCTTTTTAGACGGGCTCTGGGAAAACATACAGCATGGGCACAGGATTCGACGTTGATGTTACTCCACAAGCTGAAGGCATTATACCTCGAGCGGTCAGACATCTTTTTGCCGGAATAGAGGAATTGCAAACGGGACCTGAAAATGCGAGATTCTCGGTGGCCGCTCAATTTATGGAATTATACAACGAGGAAATCATCGATTTACTGGATCCATATAGCAAGGTAAGTTCACGAAATTCAAATCATGACGTAGTATAGATCATGAAAAATAAATAACTGGAGCTTGGTTCACTGTTCAGATATAGTGTTAGAAGTATCGAGGCAAAGTATCGATACCGAGTACTGAAAAAAGAATCGAGGCAGAGTATCGATTCCAAAAAAGTATCGTGGCAAAAGTATCGATACTACTCAGTATCGAGTACTTTTCATCAAAATCAAACATAAGTGCAAAAAGATTTAAAACTCACTACAGATCGAATTACAATATTATGATAAATTTTATTGCCTGTATTTGATGCTGTTAAATCAGCATCATTTTCAATATTTTGAGAAGTTTAAAACAATAATTTTTTGATACTAAAAAGGAAAATGCTCATTAATTAAAAAATAGTATCGTTTTGTGACGAAAGTATTCATTTATGAATTTAGTATCGGCTAATTTATATCACAAAGAAAAATACTCATTAATTAAAAAATAGTATTGTTTTGTGACAAAAGTATTCATTTATGAATTTAGTATCGGTTAATTTATATCACAAAGAAAAATACTCATTAATTTAAAAAAAGTATTGTTTTGTGACAAAAGTATTCATTTGTGAATTCAGTATCGGCTAATTTATATCACAAAGAAAAATACTCATTAATTTAAAAAAAGTATTGTTTTGTGACAAAAGTATTCATTTGTGAATTCAGTATCGGCTAATTTATATCACAAAGAAAAATACTCATTAATTAAAAAAAAAGTATTGTTTTGTGACAAAAGTATTCATTTATGAATTTAGTATCGGTTAATTTATATCACAAAGAAAAATACTCATTAATTTAAAAAAAGTATTGTTTTGTGACAAAAGTATTCATTTGTGAATTCAGTATCGGCTAATTTATATCACAAAGAAAAATACTCATTAATTAAAAAAAAAGTATTGTTTTGTGACAAAAGTATTCATTTGTGAATTCAGTATCGGCTAATTTATATCACAAAGAAAAATACTCATTAATTAAAAAAAAAGTATTGTTTTGTGACAAAAGTATTCATTTGTTCAATTATAATGTCGGCTAATTTATATCAAAAAGAATTTATTATTTTAGAAAAAACAAGTATCGGCTTTAAATATTAGAATCGGAATTATAATAATTTTAATGGAAATACTTAGCGATTATAAAATAGTATTTATTTTAGAAAAAACAAGTATCGGCTTTAAATATTAAAATCGGAATTATAATAATTTTAATGGAAATACTTAGTGATTATGAAGTAGTATTTATTTTAGAAAAAAAGTATCGGCTTTAAAAATTAGAATCGGAAATCGAATGTCTTAATAAATTATTTAACCAAAGTTGGTTGCGTGACAATTTCGCAGATAACAAGGTTTTTGCATATAACATACAAAATTTATTATCGTTGATAAACATATGTTCTCGGAGGTAACAGAAATTATATTATCGACGTACGTAATCTTAAACTTTAATTCTTTTATTTATTGTTAATCATTGGCTTCGAACTAGGGGCATTCATAAACATTTTCTTTAACAAAAACCATATCGCACTCGACTTATCGCTTCTTTCGTTCGTTATCTATGAAGAGCGGGTGCCGCCACGACAAAAAAGAATGAGTAGTGTTCATAAAATGCGGTCGAACTTTTGGTGGGGTCAAAAAATATAGCCGATACTTTTTGAGTAGAATCGGCGCAAAGTATCGATACCGCCAAAAGAATCGACCCGAAGCATCGATTCCAAAAGTACTCATTATCGAAATCAAAGTATCGATACTTACTCAGTATCGATACTATCGTTCTAACACTATTCAGATATGCAGAACGAACCGATATCTCCAACATCTACAGGCCATTCATAAATTCAATAATTTTATCTCTTATTATTAAGTTTTATTTTATTTATCAAAATTATGCGTTATTATCAATAATATATGCACAATTAACTTTTGATGTAAAGTCTCTAGTGGACTCTATTTCTCTACAAGAATTTACTCAACAGGGCCGAATATTTAAAATTCACGAAGACATTTCTGGTGGCATTTCTGTGGCAGGAGCGACTTTAAAACCAGTAAATGGACCCCAGGACGCTTTGAGATGTCTTCAGTCTGGTGCATTGGCTCGAACCACCGCCAGCACTCAAATGAATGCTCAGAGCAGCCGTTCACATGCCTTGTTCACTCTACTGATTCGACAGCAGAGAGTCATAAATGACGAGGTAATTTTATTAATTTTGCTTAATATTTTCTAAACAATGAGTTACTAATTATAAGTATAACAACGTTATGATATTATTAAGCCAAGTATAAATTATTATTTGGCAGGATTCAGAGGCACCGGACGGCGATCTGCAAACACTGACGGCGAAATTCCACTTTGTCGATTTAGCAGGGTCGGAGCGACTAAAGCGTACAGGTGCCACTGGAGAAAGGGCCCGTGAAGGCATATCAATTAATTGCGGCTTACTAGCACTAGGAAACGTTATTTCGGCTTTGGGGAGACAAATCTAAAAAAGCTTTACACGTACCATATAGGGATTCAAAATTGACCAGGTTACTTCAGGTATTAATGGAATATTGTCATTAGTTTTTGGATGCGTTATCATAAGCATCTGTTAGATGTTTATGACCAACGTGCTGTGGTTTATTTTATTCTAGGACTCTTTGGGTGGCAATAGTCAGACATTAATGATAGCTTGTGTATCGCCGAGCGATAGAGATTTTATGGAGACTCTAAACACATTAAAATATGCGAATAGAGCGCGAAATATTAAGAACCGCGTCGTGCTGAACCAGGATCAAAGTTCGAGAACAATTGGGCAACTAAGGCGCGAATTAGCTCAATTACAAATGGAACTTCTCGAATACAAACAGGTGAAAATATATTTTTTTAAATTGACAAAACTGATATTTATATAACAACTAAAGAATTAATTTAATTAATTTATAAAGCATAATAAGAATTTATATCTATCCTATACTAGAATTATTATTATTCTGAACTAACAGTAGACAGATACCAAGATAGTTTGCCTCTGATATTTAATTTTATATATTCCACGTTCAAATATCAATATATTATTGTTTTTTTTTTAAATAGGGTAAAAGGACAGTGGACGCGGAAGGCAATGGCACTTTAACAGATACATTCCATGAAAACGCGTTGCTGTCCGCTGAATTGCAAAGACTGAGACAAAGGCTACGCGCTCTTCAAGAAACCGTGTCAAATCTTACCGAAAGGAATACAGAATTGCTTGCTGAAAGGGCGGCTGCTATGTGGGGTCAAGGAGGTAATTTCATAAATATTTTTTGTCAGGCATTTATCAAGTTAAATATAATTTTCATAAATTATTTTAATATTTTAGGATGCGGTGATGGAGATAACGTAGAAATGAGCGGAATGGTGAGAGGTTACATAAAAGAAATCGAAGAATTAAGGGCTCGTTTATTAGAAACTGATAGCATGTACCAGCAGCTCAAAAACAAGTATACAGCAGCAAAAAGCGCGAAATCGACTAGGCACATACATATGTAAGTAAACCGATTAACGTATGAATGTAAACAAGTCGATAGATCTTTTTATAAATAGCGTTTTTTATTCATATTTATATTCTAAATCTGATAATTTACATTTTTTCGCAGTGGATGATGAAGAAAATAGTATAATCGAAGAAGCTAAACGTGAATTAGAACGGGAGAGGGAAGTTTTATTATCCAGATCTTTAGTTGGGGTTAATAATGCAATGGAAAATGAAATTAATGATGCAGAAACACAACCAAACGACTCTGTTTCGGATAGTGAGGAAGAGTCTGATGAAGATAGCGATGAAAAAGGTACGAAGGATAGAATCTATGAATTAGTTAAACCTTTTGATATATATATATATATCTTATATATAAAATTCTTCTGTAACAATGTAAGTTTCATTAGTCCTCCTAAACTATAATTCGGATTTTCATGAATCTTCCTGAAGTTTGTTCGGGAAATTTTCTAGAATGTTTTGATTCATAGAAATATAGTTAGATTGTAGAAATAAATGGAAAAAATTACAAAAAACCGCTTATCATTGTTTGCCCTTGAAAATATTTGAAGCTTAGTTTGACATTATAAACAATTGAAGACTGTCATTTGCCAAACATTTCTGTTCACTTATAGGCTAAGGCAATATAAAATATAACAAATTCATAATTATGAATAAGGAAAATGTAATGTCTACATTATTAATGCCGAAAAGAAGCTGAGATGTGCCAAAATTAAATTAATATTAGATGCAAATAATATAACATGGTCTGACGCGCACGGCGAATCGTGTTCTCAAGGTGCGCGTGGATTACCTTTGCTTGCATAATTTTGTTTGCGCACTTTGCGAAGAGATTCGCCGTACGAATTCGTGCAATTGAGACGAGCCATAAGTGATTGCGCTCAAAAATATTCAATTTGCAGTCGTTTTTTCAATTTGCCTCACTATAC